CTGAAGAAAAGGGATATTGGAGGAACACCGTCGACCACGACCAGGACCACAAGCAGGACCAGGACGGCGTGCAGCAGACCACCTGCAGGGCCTAGCTTCTTTATTAACGACCAGCGTACTATCAAACTTAATCTTAACAGGGCTTCAGGAGAAGGGGGAAGGGGAACGGGGGGTGAAATAGTACTCGAAGCGCACCGCAACATAAACTCGGCATAAATGTGACTTTTATTAGAGGCTCGTTGATGCGGGAAATACTGAGGCACTTTTGGGTCGGAATTCGGCGATAAAATAAATCTTTTTGGTGTGCGACTGGAGGAGAGCCACGTCGGTCCGCGATCATTTCAATTTGAATAACACACTGAGAAAAGTTCTGTTTGTTTTTGCGGTGTAAAGCCCCGGGCGCGTAAATGCAAGATGGGCCGCGATAACAGCGACATTGGAAAGCAAATCGTAACACTCGTGAAATATCTGAGGACTGTTGAGGCAGGGAAGATGAGAGGTGGGGACTTGACCGTTTTCTTACCCCCTCCCCCGGTCCCTGTCAGATTGCCAGCAAAGATACAAAAATGCAGCAGAAGGACGCCAAACAGATTTTCCCACTAAAGGCTGTTATGGGCTGGGAGGCTGGGAGAAAACTCTTTACCACCTCGCTCTTAACGAAATTGTCAAAATCTTGATTTTAGGTTATTTAGCATATTTTTCGAACCTTTGTCCAAATTGTGTTGGGCGGTGTTGGGCTACTGCATTTCGGGGAGCATTGCACTGGTCCCCGCCCAGTCTCTCAAGGACGCGGGGCGCGCCGCGTCCAGGCAGCCGGCGTGTCCTGCGGGACCCTACCGTGTCCGAGCCGAGGTCCCTCCTGTCTCGTTTCAAACTTGCAACGTTTTTTATGGGTTGTAAACGCCATAGGGGAGTAAAGAAAAACAAACATACAATTCCCCCACCCCTCTCCTGCACAATACTCACGCAAGTCCCCTTCTCCTCCTCGCCCCCCTGACCAACCAATTATGGGCCCCCCTGTGGACCTCTATGGGCCCCTGTGGCCCGCGGGCCCTGCGGGGGACCCCGAGAGGTGCGGGAAGGGGGAGACCCTGAATACCCGGATCGGAACCCTCGGTTGGGGGCCCGCAGGGGGGCCTGGCGGGGCGGGGCCCTGGCGCCAGGACCGGCCAGCGACAGTAGCTTGGAAGGGCGCGTCCATAAATTACTCACACGCTACTCTCCACCAGCACAGAAAGAAAGTAAGGGTGTAGAAAGAGCGAGCGAGAGTGGTGAGAGCGGGGGTGTGAGCGGGAATGGTAGAGCGCAAAACAGGGTCAAGCAACATCGAAAGGGGGCAGAGAAAACCAACGCGAAAACCAACAACCAAGGATGAGGATGACAATTTGCCAGGCAAATTTAGGTCTCCTGTGTCACGAGACCCTCTCGGATCGGCTGTGAAGGGCTCAGCGCCGAGCCGAAGCCGAGCATGAGCAACAGTATGAAGGATGAGGGTCAGGAGGTCCCCGGCTACCGTCTGCCACCAACTGTCTGCGGTGCGGGTGGGGCGTAAGTACCTAGAGCGTGTTGGCTGCAGCAGCGAACTCGAGCGTAAAATTTGTAAAAGGAAAAAAAAAGAAGGGGTGCGGAAAAAATCTGTCGTGGATTTTTTCGTGTTATTCGTGAGCAAACGCCCAACTCGGAAAGTAATGGGGATGGGAAGGGGAGGGGAGAGACACGGAGAAGTTATCTGATCCGCGCGGAGCTGGTTATCTCTTCCGGAATCACACCTGAGCGGCTGAGCGTCGGGACCTCGTTAGACGAATATGAACCACTGCGATGTCCTGGCGCGGCATTTGAAATCCCCCCGTGCCCCTCTCTTCTCTTCTCTCCTCTCCCCCGACCTACCTCCCACCATCCCTGTGTCTCGGAACGCAGCCAGCACCGATATCAATCGAGAGGGACAGGAAGAAGCCACCATTTGTTCCAGAGCGGGGGTCTCCGCGTCGAGGCCTCCAGAGATGAGACTCCGTCGGGGACGCTACGATGCAGCATGGAGAGGGTGCAAAGGTGACTGCAGAGGAGAGACACTAGGAGAGGGAAGGCTCGGTAATGAAAACTTCTCCAGGATCACATGGGCAAGCAAAGAGGTACGGGGAAGTTTCTGGAATTGTAATAGGTTATGGCCGATGGGTGCGTGTGTGTGTCGAGATGGAGGCTCGTGATTACCATGGGGTACGGGTGCGCGGGCCGCGATGTGTTGACAGTTCGACCCCAGACGGGGGCAGCAGCAGCTCTTTTATTTCTTTTTATCGGTCCGCACGCCGTCGCCCATACCGAGTGCGGGGCGGATAGCATCGGGTCAGGTATAGGATTGGGTAAGACAGGCTGGGGACAGGCATGGGGACAGGCAGGGAGGAGGACAGCGAGGGGGGCGGACGGACCGAGAGGGACAGCACCATGTGGCCCGAGCATTGCCAGCATTTCCAAACAGCGGAAGACATAATTCCACGCACGGACAGGTGAGGCGCTCGGGCGTGCACAGGGCGCGCTCGGGGGCGCCAACGCGCCAACGTGTAGTACAACACTCGCTGTACTTCGTGTACTTCGACAAAACGTGCTGGGTTTCCACGCCAGGACGTAAAAACGCGTGTTGTCCTGACCGGCGCCTAGACCAAGCATTCCTCAGGGAAAACAATGGGACTTTTGAAATTAAAGAGGCAAACGATAGCGCCAGAGGCTGAGCAGCAGCATACGCTCCTGCCGGAGCTCTTCCTCGCTCGCATGCTCCCCGTCTGAGTCATATCGGAGTGAGTCACTGGGGCGGTATGCACCCGTGGCGTTGACAAAGTCCGGCATTGAATGGAATGGGGTACCTTCATGTACCCCTCCCGTCCGACACGCGGGTACCCTCCTTCGGGACCCTCCGGTACCTCCGCACCGGCCATGTCGCCGGACCACGCGCGCCCTATGGGGTCGGCGCCGGCCGTCTGCCGGGGCCCGACCTCTGCGGCAGGCGGCGGGGCGGGGGAGGTACCCGACAACGGTACATACCCGGCCGGCCCGGTACTGCCACGGCACTGCACTGCACAGGTGCCTTTCGAGGGGAAACGCTACAATACCCCGTGCTCGGCTCTCCCTAGGGTTACAGGTGACGTAACAGAGTGGCGACGAGCGGCGAGTGGCGCCGATAAATCAGTGGGGCCCTACACACAGCGGACGAGGAAGAACAAGAATAAATATAAAGGGGCCAGGTGACGTGCGACGAGAGGAGAACACGCACGGCGCCGCACGGCCTGCAGGGCCACGCGGAAGGATGCGAAAAAGAAAGA